GTGTTCTCCTATGTGTCCATCCCCAGCATGTTATCTTATGTGTATTTACCCGGTGATCTGCTGGACACAGCTGATCACGTGGTAAAAGGCCGCCATGATTGGCCGTTCACTGTATCTTGTGATCAGCTATGTCCGCGACTACCGGCGGCACCGGGTGCATGCCGCTGGTGGTGCACAGGGGGCTTGTTCTGGAATGACGTCTATGAAGGGGCGGACTGACAACTCATGGGGCCCCCAGGCAATAGGGGATCATGGGGCCCCTGTGTCCTTGCCCAAACTCAAAAAAGCCTATGAAAAAGGTACCAGGGGCATCTCATGGGGCCCCCTACTGACCCCAGGCCTTTGGGCAGTGCCGAGTTTTCAAATGGTCAGTCCGCCCCTGCATCCATGGACGTCGTCCCAGAACCAGACAACCGCACTGTGGCCATCCTTTGGCTATAGCATGGTAGGGAACTGGTTAACGTGACTTAACCCAGCAAATCCTACCAGCATTATTAAAACGCCCCCTCCCCCCACCACTGTGCAAGAAGCCTTACGTCTGTATGCTTTCTAAAGATAATGAATGAGATATAAAAAACAAAGGTGGCCATACTGGAGATCTCCTAAGGTCAGCCCTCGACCTACCTGGAATTTCGTCTTTTTCTCCATTCTTGTGTTTAAAACGGTCACCCTCAACTCTCACATTTGGACACAGGACATCTGCAACCAAAAAACAGGAACAATTAGGTATGTAAGGTTACATAAGACACTTAAAAAGCACAATTCAGCACAGCAAGACATACAAAACAGCAGACTTGTCATGTTGGAAAGCACTAAAAGGAACTTTGGAAATGTTATTTGTAAAACAGCTTAAAAAGCACAAATTTTCAATTAAAAAATACACTAAAGTTAATTTTAGGACACAAAAATTTAATATATTACCCAATTTTTGGCAACATATAAAAAAAGATAAGGTTACACCGACTAAATAGATACCCAACATGTCAAGCAGAACAATTGCCTACAAAATGATGATGAACTTTGGTACTCTATATTTCCCATAGGCAACAATGTAAAAGCCTCTCCTCCAATGTAAAAGGTCATCTCCTATGTGATATAAACTTTTGTGATAGGTTCTCTTTTAGACCCCTGGGGGTTTATTTACTAAAGCTGGAGAGTCCAAAATCAGACTAACTTCTGCATCGAAACCAACCAGCTTCTAACCTCAGCTTGTTCAATGAAGCTTTGGCAATGAAACCTGGAAGCTGATTGGTTTCTATGCAGAAGGGAGTCTGATTTTGGACTCCCCAGCTTTAGTAAATAAACCCCCTGATGTCTCACCTGTGTTCCACTGAAGTTAATGGAGCATGGATTGCGCTCCATTAGCTTCTTCTTCTGCCCATAGCAACTGGGGAAAGTGACAGCGGAAACCGGAATACATGTCACTTCCAGGTTCTGTGCAGCTAGGGGAGATCAACGAACGGGTGTTCACTGGTTTCCCTCGCCTCCATCCATGACACCTGCCATGTGAGTCAGCTTAACCCGGGTAGTATGGTGAGAGGTATCGTGTAGGAGGAGGCCCAGTTCTGAGCTTGTATATGGGGAAGGATGGGCTGAACACTTTTTTCCAAGTGCTTGGGTGTAACTTTATTTTTTGACAGTTTTTTTTTCACTAAAGCCTTATTTATATCACATAGGGGACAAAAAAGTTTTCTATGTGATATAAACTCTTTGTGTTAGGTTCTCTTTTTTGGGACATCAGGGGTCTTTTAGACCCATGATTTCTCACTTGCCTTCATCTGAAGCTAATAGAGCACAGATTGTGCTCCATTAGCTTCTTCCCTGCCCATAGCAATTGAGGAAATTGACAACAGAAACCGGAAATGACATTATACATGTCACTTCCAGATTCTTTAGGGGAGATTCTTTAGCTAGGGGAGATCAGTGAATGGGTGTTCAGTGGTCTTCCTTCCTACCATTAGGTGACACCCACCATGTGGGTCAGTGGAGCTCAAGAAGCATGGTGTTACATGAGGGGACATACAGTTCCGAGCTTGTATGTTGGGGTGGGATAGGCTCAAATTTTTTTGAGTAGTTTTTTTTTTTTACACTTTTTTTCACTAAAACTTTACTAATATCACATAGGGGACAAGAAGTCCCTATGTGATATAAACTCTTCGCAACAGTTTTTCTTTAACAAGACATCAGGGGTCTTTTAGACTCCTGATGTCTCACCAGCCTTCTACTGAAGCTAACAGAGAACAGATTGTGCTATATTGGCTTTTGGAGTGTGCACACACTGGCTGCTATAGTAGTATCTGTTGCCATAACAGGTGTCCCCGTGGAAAGATTTTCTTTCTATTCCTGTTCTGGTGACAACTGCAAAAGTTTGGACAAATTTTTGGAACGGACAAAACTTTTTATTTTTTCTTCTCAACTTCATTTTTTGGATTTTGGATATTTCAGTTTTGGATGGGCATCATTGTTTTCAGTCACCCTCAAGTTTCTTCTGTCTGGCGCCCCTCCTTCACAAAGCCATAGCAAAGAATATTATTATTCGCACTGATTTAAGATTTTTAAAATTCGTCTTGGTAACAGTGAAGGGTTTTGGGCAGAGCACAGAATTTTCGTGATGATATCTCATTGCTAGAGCCCTTGATAAATAGAAGAGGCTTGAGATGGAAGTTGCCAGGAGCCACATAAAATATCAGTTTTAGATGCCCTTTAACTGGTTTTAATTGATGACAAAGTTTTGACAATCCTTCCATGCAGGATTTCGGGAGACCTTTTGAGATGGAGAAAGCTTCTTGTATCTTCTGTGTCTCTGGTTGGAAGCTTGGCTTGTAAATCTGTCTATTAGATGAGGAGTAACAATGGAGTCCCTCTAATGAAGACAAAGAGAAGGAAACAAAGGAACATCTCTCTTTCCTTTTGTCTATTTGTCATCCAAATAATCTCTTTGTGTGTGCCTGGAATCGGCCCAAGCCATCCATTCAGAAGAGGAGCTTCTAAATGGTTCTTATCTCATGTATTGTCACACATGTGCCACTTCCCATTAAAGAAAGGAATAGAAACATAGAAGGGTGATGGCAGAAAAAGACCAATTGGTCCACCAAGTCTGAACCCTTTTTGTTTTTGGTTCTTTTTTTTTTTAACCTCTTTCCCTGAGTATGTTTTTCCCTAAAATGTTTGAAGCCACTTACTGTTGATCGACTCACTACTTCTGCTGCAAGTCTGTTACTAGCATCAACTACTCTTTCAGTAAAATAATTCTTACTAGAGTAAGGTTTGAACGTTCCTCCTGCTAGTCTGAAAGTCATGTCCCAGTGTTTTTGATTTCAGCTTAATGCTGAAAATACTGCCTTGAACCTTATTCACACCTTTCATATATTTAAAGTTTTCAGTCATGTCCCCTTTCCCTTGTTTCTTCCAGACTGCACATATATATGTAGCGTCCTCTTGTGTGCATAGTTTGTAGTGTAGTTATAGGCTTGCTAGAAGCCTGGGTGAGTTCTCTTTAGGCAGGCTGGATGGCTCTACAGATCAGGCCTCTGGTACCTCCCTCTGGTTCTAGAAGCTTGGAGAAGTTTCTAGAAGCTAGTGGAAGTAGGGCAGAAGGTGCTGATCTGCAAATTTTTGAGAATATGACCAATCCTCAGGCAGGAGGTCTGGCAAGGTAGCCAAATCAGCCTTTAAATATGAAAGAGTCTGGTCAGCAGGGTAGTCAAGTGGAAGATGGAATGCTGAGGTGTGCTGCCGTGTAGCCTGGGAGGGATCCCCAGAGAAGGATAGAAGATGAAGTGCTGAGGTGTGTTGCTGTGTAGCCTGGGAGGGGACCCACAGAAGAATGGATGATGGAGTGCTGAGGTGTGCTGCTGTGTAGCCTGGGAGGGGACCCACAGAAGGATAAAAGATGGAGTGCTGAAGTGTGTTGCTGTGTGGGCCAGGGGGGGGACCCCACAGAAGAATGGAAGATGGAGTGCTGAGGTGTGCTGCTGTGTAGTCTGGGAGGTAACCCCAGAGAAGGATAGAAGATGGAGTGCTGAGGTGTGCTGCTGTGTAGCCTGGGAGGGAACCCCAGAGAAGGATAGAAGATGGAGTGCTAAGGTGTGCTGCTGTGTAGCCTGGGAGGGAACCCCAGAGAAGGATAGAAGATAGAGTGCTGAGGTGTGTTGCTGTGTAGCCTGGGAGGGGACCCTACAGAAGGATAGAAGATGGAGTACTGAGGTGTGTTGCTGTGTGGGCCGGGGAGGGGACCCCACAGAAGAATGGAAGATGGAGTGCTGAGGTGTGCTGCTGTGTAGCCTGGGAGGGGACCCCAGAGAAGGATAGAAGATGGAGTGCTGAGGTGTGCTGCTGTGTAGCCTGGGAGGGGACCCCAGAGAAAGGATATAAGATGGAGTGCTGAGGTGTGTTGCTGTGTAGCCTGGAAGGGGACCCCAAAAAAGAATGGAAGATGGAATGCTGAGGTGTGCTGTTGTGTAGCCTGGGAGGGGTCCCCAGAAAAGGGTGGTTCTGCCTCCAGGCTGGAGGTTGGAAAGATGGGAAAAGGAAGTTGACAGAGGAAGCTTTACTACCCTGCAGTCCAGTGAGGAAGGTCAGCTTGCCAGCCTAGAAAGGAACTAGCTCAGCTAAAAGGCCTGAAAGCAGTTTAACCAAAGCTACAGGACACAAGGGCAGTGTGAGTACCTCTACACCCCCAGGGCCTACAAGAGAGAGGGCTGCTAGGTGCTATACCCAACCAGTTCTTCCTGAGACAGTGCTGCAAGCCTGTACTAAAAAGAACTCTTGCTTTGGGATACTCTTCAAAGACTCCCAGGTGGGTGGGCAGGTTCTAGCTGGGGTCTGAAGAGGTTCGTATAAAGAGGGGACCAAGTGCTCCTTACAGAGACTGTATTACTGATCCGTCAAGACACTGATTCTGCTCCGGAGGAAGTATAAAGTCTAGGATCTATCCTTTTTTATGTACAGAATTTAGGACGTTTGTCCTCAGCGTAATTGTTTCAAGTCTAGTTGGGCAT